TTCAGGTTACCATAGTTTTAATGAATTTCTAAGCATAATGGTCACGCCATGTCCCACAGCACTCCCCTCCATTCTCTAGCTCTTACACCCCCCTTCAATATTCCCTGGGCCATGTGGGGAGGAGGAGATGATGCAGATGTCCCATTTAGAGCTACACACTCACAGTCATTCATCCTCAGCACTTGATGAGCTGTGAATCTCTACATTAACCACTTCCCACTGCAAAAATAAGCTTCTCTAACCAAAGTTGAGAGCATCACAAATCTATGTTTAAACAAAAATATCTAGAAGGCATTTTGAAAACATAAGCATTTAACACAACCACAATAGCAGATTCCTTCCTAAGGCATTGTCCCATAGTGGGCTTCAGTTCAAGTTTACAGTACCAACCATGAATTCTTTCCTCATATCCAACCATAATGCCATTAGTTACTCCTTTAGCAGTCATGCCACTAGTACACCAGTGGGTACACTTTGCCCGGCAGGTTGGTATTGTAGTATACAGGGGCCAGTGTCGGGTAAGACCATTGGCATATTTTCTCCCCTGGCAGACTAACTAGCACCTTCTGTCTCTTTGAAAGACAGCCAGCCAGGAGTAAGTTCCCTATTCAGTTCCAGATTTATTTCTCTGTGTTCTACAGCACAAGCGTGTGGCATCTTCAGCATTAGACTTTTGCCATCTAGTTATAATCAGCAGCCAAGAACAGGGGCAATGGCCTATGTTGTTTGGGAGGTATCTCATGCCTGGCACTGAGATTTTAATTAATAACACCTGTCTTATGAAGTAGCACTGCACACCAATATAGGGTGCAGAGGATGGCTTTTAAACACAGGGTTCTGGCTTGTTAAAGCAGTTCTACTGTCTTTTTGCACAAATAACTAGTGCTATCTCTGGGAACTGCACTATTCTGGTGAGTTTAGGGATATTGACAGCCCCACACCACATCAACACCGTGTGACACGAGACAAGTTGATACACACATTCCTAAGTTTGTCATGTCACTAACTCCAGGAAAAGCACTGGAAAGAATTAAACTTCTATGGTTCTTCGGATAATACTAAAGACACTGGATGGCATATGGATGGCTTTTGAAGAAACTACTTGTAGAGACTGTACTCATTTCCTTGCCATGTGTAAAAGGATTTATCATCACTACACTGCTTTTTAATGGCCTATTGTTTATGAGACTTGGGTCTACACACAAGCTACCGACTATGGACTTAAAACAGAGACAAAAAATGCTATGTGGGGCTGCAGAAATAGTTCAGAGAGTTAGGAACACTTGTTGATTTACCAAGGGACCTAGATTTTGTTGTTTTTGGTATTCATATGGAGAACTCCAACTGCCTATAAGTGATACCTTGACCTCTGCAGGCACCAGGCATGCATGCAAATGCAGGCAGAACACCTATACACATAAAATAAAATAATGAATCTTTAAAAAATTACAGTAAATAAGGAAATACAATAATTAAATTATTTACTTAACACTATTGTTTAAAACTGCAGCAATGATCTATATCTTGGTACAAAAAATGAAATGAGCATTGCCTTGAAGGTTTATTTAATAACGCATGACCAGCCCTGAAATTATATATATATCAGCCACACTAAACAGACTCAGCAGTTTGTATTTATCTATTTATGTGGATATGTGTATGTGTAGCAATAATAATTCGTGAAACAGAGGCCATGAATTTGAGGAAAGCTGCAGGAGAGGGATGGGAGAAGTTGGAAGGAGGAGACAGCGGGGTGTGGGGGAGTGGGGGCGGGGCAAATGATACTTATGTCTTAGTTTCAAAAGATTGGAGAGATATTAATAAAATTTAAAGCATTGCAAGTATGTCAAGACTTCAGTACTTAATTTTTGTTTTTCCTGTAAAGAGGGCAACTACTCCTTCTGCAAAAGTTATCAGGGATCCCATCAACTTCTGCATGTCTGCCAACAGACTTACTAATGCTCAAGTAGCCCCCAGTCTTCTGGAAACTTAGCCTCCAAGCCACTGCTACCCAGGCAAGAAAGCTTCTGTCACCCTCAAAGGCCCCTCTCCTTCTACGTCATTATTAATATAATCAGATAGGCAAAGCAATGTTTTGTGTTGCTTTTCTCTGTTATTGTCATATAACAGAAACATTAAAGACACAGTAGAAAGCCCTGCACTACAGCTGCAAGCCCCACCCTTCCCAGGCCAGGTGCTGTCTGGTAGAATTTGTCTTTAGTTTTGGCCATGAGCGGAGTCAGTGAGCCAGACTTCCTTTAGAGAATGGTGTCCTTGGCTCACAGATGTGTGTTAAATCCATTCTCAATTTTGTAATTCCATCCACTGCCCCATCCCTCATCCCTCTTCCTCTCTTCCTGCTCACATGCATACAGTCTTATTACTATGTGATTCGAAGAGTTTGCTGTCATTCAAGACAAATTTGGTTTGTTATTCTTTAAAGGAGATTTAGTTGGATTTCATTCTTTGCTTGTGCCATTTCTTGTTTCTAATATAACACTACTACCAACATTCTTCTTTCTTTCCTTCCTTCTTTCCTTCTTTCCTTTCAAATATTAGCTACTTTTCCCGTTACTATGATAAAATACCATGACTAAAGCATGATTTAAAAGAAGGAAACATTTATTAGAGATCCCAGTCCAACTCAGCAGGGTGGTTATGGGGGCGGAGCCAGAAACAGCTAATGTCCTGGCATCCACGATCAGCAATCAGAGAGGGTAAATTCTTCTGCTCAGCTTGCTTTACCCTTGTAGTGTAGCACTGATTACTGTAAGTTGTGTCTTCTCACTTCACCTAACCTAATCTAGAAAACTCCTGTCAAACACACCCTAAGGCTTTTCCTCTTCAGTGATGCTAGGTCCTGTCAAATTGGCAATCAATGTAAGCATGAAACTTAGTAAGCCTTATACTTTTCAGGGTGCATATTCAAGGTGGTCCATCAGATTTCCTGTCTTTAAACCACACAAAGACCTTTGATTTTGCAATATAAGTGACACTGCTGAGAACTCACTCAAAATACATTTGAAACAACAAGTTCCCATGAAGAGATCTTCCCAATTCCCCGTTCTTGCATCTCAGTGGTTTCCCACACCCACAACATGGGACCTCAACACAGGAAGTCAGTGTTGCTCTGGTTTGCTTCCCTGCCACTTTGACAGAACACCATGTCCAAGAGCATCTTGGGGAGAGTTTCTCTTACAGGTTACAGCCCATCGTTGAAGGGGACCAAGGTGGGAGCTTAAAGTGAAACCTTGGTGGGATATGGCTTACTGGCTTGTTTCCTCTGGCTTGCTCTCTAGCTTTCTTATACAGACAGCCCAGGTCCACTTGCTTGGGGATGGCACCACCCACAGTGGGCTGGGATCCCCTACATCAATTAGCAACCAAGAAAATGCCACACAGCATTCAAATATTGCTTCTGCGCTTCTCATTCTCTGGTTGCCCATTCTCCTGCCTGCTGCCCTGAATATTCTTGACTTCCTGGTCTACATTGTGGTTCTGTCAATGTAAGTTCTTCTTCCATGGGGCTGAAAATGGGTTGGAAACATGGGTGGTCCTACAGAATATCACTCCATCTGCTTTTCCTGGGAGCACAGTGACTTCTAGACTACTTTACTGAGACTATCAAACAATGCCCATAAATTCAGAGTTCCGCCCATTTTGATAACAATAATGTTTGGAGTTCTCAAAAAACACATTTGGATAGCTGAAAACCACATACTTTGCTCTACTAGGTATGTGCAACTAAGAAATAAGAGTTTTTCATTTTCATGAACTTGGACCCCACCTTGTGGGTCCTAGCTGTATTAAAGAAGCCTCAATTCCAGCTCTCCACCCTATCTGAAGCCACAAGCACATTCTCTTCCCTCTAACTTTACCAGGGCAATAGAACCTTAGACCCAGTTCAGATCCTGTGCCCAATTCTAAAGGCCCAATCCTGTCACAAGTATGCCAGTGGTTGCTGGTGGTGGGATTGGTATTGTGTATGGGCTTCCTTGTGTTTGTGATTTTGGGGAGTTCTGTTTGCTTCTTTCCAGGAGCTTTATTATGGGTTGCATTACGCATTTCTACAGTGTTTAGCAATGGAAGAAAAATGGCGTTGGGTGACTCCCATAAGATATAACAACCACATTCTGAGAGCACTTTCATCCTGCCCTCCCCCGCAACCACTCTTAACCTTCACTTAAACTATTTATGCTCGGTCTCATCACTACCAGGTTTTCCCTTAGAAATTCAGAGGAAGCACAGCTCTGTCAAGACTAAGGACCACCCCCCCCACTCCTATCATAGTTATCATCAGCTGTCAACTCAACACACACTTAGAGCTCTCTGGGAAAAGGGAACCTCAACTGAAGAATGGTCTCTATCGTGCTAGCTTGTGAGTATATCTGTGATGTATTTTCTTAGTAGCTAGTTCATGTAGGGGAGCCCAGTCCACTATGGGTGGTGCCATCCCCAAGCAAGTGGACCTGGGCTGTTCGTATAAGAAAGCTAGAGAGCAAGCCAGAGAAAGCAAGCCAGTAAGCCATATCCCTCTGAGGCTTCACATTAAGCTCCTATCTTGAGCTCCGACCTTGGTCCCCTTCAACGATGGGCTGTAACCTGTAAGAGAAACTCTCCCCAAGATGCTCTTAGACATGGTATTCTGTCAAAGTGGCAGCGAAGCAAACCAGAGCAAAACTGGCTCCCTGTGTTGAGATCCCATGTTGTGGGTGTGGGAAACCACTGAGATGCAAAAACAGGGAATTGGGAAGATCTCTTCATGGGAACTTGTTGTTTCAAATGCATTTTGAGTCTTCCATGGAGTCAATTATATTGCAAAAACTAAGAAAGCATGCTAGTTTGAAATGAGTCTGTGAATTGATCTTTGAAGAAAATGACCACATTGATGAAGGAACCAATTTGCCTGCTTTGCTATCTTTGGATGGGGGCGGGGGTGCTACCTTGAGGTTAGCTCTCTTTATCAAGAGGAAGGAAGCAGAAAGCAGTGAGGGCTGACACAAAGGCCTCAAGTGCTCTTCCTGCCCATACATACATTCTCCATGTTGTCTCCAGTTTTCAAAGGAAATCTTTCTACTTGTTCTCCTGTTGGTGTCATTTCCTCTCAGCTACTTTTCATTCTGTACCTTGAAGACAGGATCTCCAAAAGGTTTGTGCTATGTGTGTCTTTGTATTTTTTTTAAGATGCCCACAGGCCGGAAGTGACCAGCGACCCCCTGTTCTGTCCTGTGTCCCAGAGACACAATATGCAACGGCTCTTCTAAAAGTCTGCTTTCTTTCATTTGAACAATTTAAATCGCTTCTTTCAGCCATGCTGATTTGGACTACTAAGGCTAAGTGAGACTGACAGATGTTCACAGTTGTTCCAGCTGCTGCGGCACACTGGTTACCTGAGAGACAGTGTGAAAACAAACACGGAAATTGTGAAGACGCTGACACTCTACCACTGGCTTCCTGACAAACAGTAGATAAACGGAAAAGAGAGAAGCAGCAAGAGAGACAGCGGGAAAGAGAGGCCAGTCGTTACCCACAGTTCACGCACAGAGAGCTCTGCCCTTCCTGTAAGCAGTTTGATTTATAGCCTGTGATATTACATGCAAGAGCGCCCACAACCCAAAGTGTTTTGTGAGTTGACCTGTGAAAATAAGCCTGTTAACCCCAATCAACCTCCCATTATCCTGGAGTGCCTGAAATTTAGCAAGCAAAGGGTGACAGAGGTCTCTGCAGCTCCCCAGCTAACCATTGTCTTTGCCAATCTGTGTCTTTGCCCGGGGAAATTAGCATCAGAGTACAGTGGTGGGGGAAGGCGTTTATCTTTTAATGAGAAAACGGAGGATTGTTTTCAGTTTTAATTGCTGCAGCTAATTAAGGCCTAGGGCTCTTATGCAGACCTGGACCCCTAGGCTTCACCCCAGCTGTGGGTAAATCGCCTGCCCCAACTTCCTGCAGTAATTAGTAAGGTCTTCTATTCAGATGGAGTACTTTATTACAGAAGCTGATTATGAAGTCTGTAGATGGCTCACTGTGCCGCAGGCTGGGGGGTTTTCCTGGGCTTTCAGGGGAGAATTCTAAAAGTGAGTGTGGCTTCAACCTTTGGAGGGAAAAATGGGAATTGGCACATGACATGGCTGGTCAGATGTTAAAATATCCATGGAAAATGGAGATATCTTAAACTCACACCGAGAAAGCCCAGCAAGCAAAGCTTCTTTTCAACTGAGGTTTGGAGAGGCTGATGGAGAAAAGCACAGACCGCTACTAACCTGCACCAGGGATTGTTACAAAGACACTGGGTGGGTCTCACAACCCCAGCTGAGGCAGGCCGCTATGCCTGGCACTCTGATAGGGGTGGACTAGAAGTTCTACAGTGCTAGAGCATTCTTGGGAGCAGTGTCCACTTATTTCCCTGCAATGTTATGCTCATTCCTGTGTTCTTATAAGTTCTACAGTGCTAGAGCATTCTTGGGAGCAGTGTCCACTTATTTCCCTGCAATGTTATGCTCATTCCTGTGTTCTTATAAGTTCTACAGTGCTAGAGCATTCTTGGGAGCAGTGTCCACTTATTTCCCTGCAATGTTATGCTCATTCCTGTGTTCTTATAAGTCTGTGTTTGTTTTTTGTAAAAATAAAATAAAACATGGTTTGGGTGGGTATAGGATGGTTGAACTGGGAAATACTGGCCCCTTATGACATTTTAAAAGTGTCGTTACATTGCTTATTTTAAAGTACTTCATTAACAGGAATTTGGGAGACACTGTTCCTTTTGTGTTCATGTGTGCAGGGATGCATTTGTGCGCACATCTGTGTGGAAGCCAGAGGTCACTTCCTCAGATACCATTCACCTTAGAATGTTTTGAGGCAGGATTTCTTGCTAGCCTGAAGCTCATCAGGTTGGCTAGTCTAACTGGTCCAAGAGCTCCAGGGATGTGCCAGTCTCTAATCTCCCCAGCCCTGAGATTATGCTACCGCATAATGCTTTTATTAACTGATATGTCTCCCCAGCTCTGACATTATTTCTCCCTTAAACGTGGATTCACTCTTTCTCAACTCTCTCTGGAAGCAAAAATAGGATAGTAGATATTAATATATGAGGCAGCTTGTTTGACTTGATATGTGACTATACTGAATTTTTCTAGCCACAAATAAATAAATTATAAACGGTGTATGATATGTCTGTCCTTGATATTTCCTAGATTTGCAGCAAGAGTAAGGCTCCCTCCCCCTTAGCACCCACTCTCTCCACCCGTTGTTCATGCGCAAAACCTTCCCGTGTGCACCTAGCACACCACAACCTCCCCTGAGGACAACCCAGGGATGGCATTGGTGTGGGCACAGATCTTACTAGACAGCTAGTTCCCACAGTCAGGAACCTGGAACTTTCTGAGATGGAGTGCGGGTGTGCTTTATTTAGGTGGACATGGACTTCTGGCCCTGGGGACTCCTGACTCTGTGACAGTGATCTCAGAGGAGCAGAGAAAGATCCGCATGTCTCAGGACTCATCACAAAGTCATCGGTGCCCAGCGCTGTGGTCAATACTGGTACTTGATTTTAAAAATGATGTCCTGTGGGTGTTCACACACTCTTTTCTCAAGTCCTTTTTTTATTTCTTACAATGTCCTTTCCATTATGTTTGGCACCAAGGGTTTCTTATGCAAAATGAAGTTATTTGTTTTGAAATAAGCATACTAGAATATAATGAAATAATGTTTCTATAGTGCTAGTCATATATTCACTGGCTAAGAATTTTGCTTCAGGTTTTTCTCAGGATATATGTAAGAAGTGTATGTGTGTATGTGTGTATGTGTGTGTGTGTGTATGAGTATATATCTGTGTATTTGTCTGTATATGACTGATTGTGTGTCTGTGTATGTGTTTGTATGTATCTGTATATGTGTATATATGTATGTGTCTGTGTGTGAGTATCTGTGTGTGAGAGAATGTGTATATGGTTATGTGTGTATGTGTGTATATGCATGTGTGTGTATGTGTGTGAGGGTATGTGTATGTGCCCCTGTGTGTGTGCATGTGTGTGTGTGTGTGTATGAGGGCATTTGTATGTTCCTGTGTGTGTATGTGTGTGTGAGTGAATATATATGTGTATATGACTCTGTGTATGTATGTGTGTGTGGCTGTGTATATATACCTCTATGTGTGTTTGTATGTGTGTGTGTACATGTCAGAGAGTTTAAGGAATGATTTCTTTTTATGGATAAAAAAAATCAAGTTCAGGACCGGTAAGTCTCCTGATCAAGGGAGCTATGCTGCAGCAGGGATTGATGCAAAGTGCTCAGCCATCCAATTGCCAAGAGAATTGATCAGTTCACAAAAGGTTTCTGACTGTGTGAATGTCATGACTAATCTAACATCGTACACAAACTTTGCCATTTGAGAGGCTGGGTCTAAAATCTGTTTTGCTATTACAACTGTCTTCAAATCAGCCAAATAGAAATCAAGGCTTTGCCAAGGCTTCAGACTCTGTCTTTCTGAATCTAGCTATCCTATACACTCAAAGGAGTCTTTGCCTGAGAATTTGTAACATCAGTTGGCTGAAGCCTCCAACTCCTGTAAACACTCTTGCAAGCCAGTCTAGGGTATACAAAAGAGAACTTGACTTTCAAATTCAAGTGCTGTAGCTTGGCAAGATTGCAACAAAGGACTGATAAATAAATAAATCTAGCTTCCCAATGGTCCAGGCAATACTCTTCATTGAAAAGTGAATAAAACTAGAAGAAATTGTTGCCAGACTTAGCACATAATATATAAGTGTACTATATTAAGAAACTGCTTTAGGAAACACTTTAAATCAATAATCTCCTTCTTGTCAAACATAGAAGAATGTCCTTCCAAACAGAGAAACCCTCTTCAAAGCTTCAATAGCACATCCTAACTCAGGGGAAGGGGGAAGGCAGACAGTAGGAAAAGAAAACTCAACTCAAAAGGTGCAGGCCATCACCCCACCCCCATCTGACCATATCCACCAGGGCAGGGGAGGTTCATGTAAGCCTCAACCAAAACAAAATAAGAAACATGCTTCTTCAGGATGGGGAATGTTTTAGTTATAATTGCCTGACCTTCACCTCTCAAAATCTATTCTTAATCCCAAGCTCTGTGATTCCTGATGTAAATGGGAAGTATATGTGCATTGTTGTCTTGTTACCTGGGATTGTGAATCTTGGAAAGTTGTGTCCTGTTGTCACTGTTATTGTTTAAGCAAGCAAAGAATCTCCCCTAAAATAGTGAGCACAGCCTGGTGCCACTGGATGTCTTCTCAGCTACTTGGGAAGCTGAGGCAGGAGGATTAAAAATTCAAATCCTGGGAATGGCAGCATGCAGATGATATGAGGGAGCACATTGGAAAACGGGGGGTCTTTAATGGAGGACAGAGAAGGAAGAGGTTATATAAGGAAAAGAGAGATAATACTAAGGGTATTTCAAAAAGACATAGGAAATAATGTTATTTTCTATTTACCTAAAACAACATTATATAATTAATATACATATGTGCATATATGTCCAAGAGATCCTCAAAACAATGCAGGCTATTGCTGTTGCCCTTACTTGTCTCCCAGAAGTTGAAGGAAAAGTCCCTATTGGCAAAGACACCTTGTATTTTGGACACAAGACTCAGAGAAATACTCCAAATCTGACCCAAAAACCTCCCTGAGGTCTAACCTGCATAGTACTAGAAGGTACTATGCAAAGTCCCAAGGAAGGAAAACAGTCAACAGATCTATCCAGCTGTGACATCTCTGAATGGCAACAATGACCAACATGGCAAGCTATCCATAAAGGTAGGATAGTAACACTTATGTTTTGGTGATATCCAACAGCTGTCTAACTTAAAGCCTACTTAACAGGCTTGGTACTAGAAACATAGCCAACCACACATCGCTAATGAGTTCATGCATCTTAGAGGCAAATCTACTATAGCCCCTTTCCTAGAGCACTGTAAGTAAGTCCTCACTATATTCTAAACACTTATTCTTTATAGCCACAGAGGAATATGGCTCTCATCTCTCATGAAAGAAGCTTCTTTTCCCAGCAGAAGACCACTACAGAAAACCACAATTGGTCAAAACACAGAGAACAAGTGACCATGGGGTGCCCAGCTTCGGTTGATACATCTACTACACAATCCCTATCCCTTAGGGAACACCATGGAAGAGGGGATAGAAAGAATGTAAGAACCAGAGGACCAGGAGGTTTGCCATGAGATTTTTCCTTCTCTCTATGACAGGGAAGCTACACCATGAAACCCCAACAATCTGGCTGCTTATACAAGACCTGAACAATGACAACACCAGTTGACATGCCAGTTTGAAGAAGGAAATCTCATCATTCCTACCTATCCATAAAGAGCTACAGGCAATTAACAGCTACAAAGAGAGTGAGCCTTCTAACTGGTTACTAATTCCAAGTGATCAACTTAAAAAACATGAACAGATGAGCAACACTAAATCGACTTAGCAGGTTGTATTTGTGTATTTGTATATCCAGTGTCCATCCCCAGGAGAGATAGACTAGAGAGAAAGAGATCCCAAGGTCTACTTCTATAAAAACTACTGTTATCCAAAATCACCTAACTGAAAATTAGAAATTAGAGACAGTAAAATTTGCTACAAAAAATAACAAGCAATTTTAAGAAACTACAGTAATTTTCAAGTGGTCAATATTAACACATATACCAATGCATTTAGACATCTATAAAAAGAAAATTATCTTTGGACAAGAAAGACACACATGAAGAGATATAATTGTTGAATCTAAAACACTATGATTACTATATATTAAATTAAAGTTCCATTTGTTTGTTTGTTTGTTTTCATTTTGTTTTGTTCTAGTACTTACTCTGTAGACTAGGCTGGTCTAGAACTCATAGAGATCTGCCTCTGCCTCTGCCTCTGCCTCTGCCTCTGCCTCTGCCTCTGCCTCTGCCTCTGCCTCTGCCTCTGCCTCTGCCTCTGTCCCTGCCCCTGCCCCTGCCCCTGCCCCTGCCTCTGCCCCTGCCCCTGCCCCTGTCCCTGCTCCTGCCCCTGCCACTGTCCCTGCCTCCCAATTGCTAGGATTAAAGGAATATACCACCACCCAGCTACATGTTCTAATTTTTATTTTTATTTATGTTTATGTGTGTGGGGTATGCACGTGAATGCAGGTACCCATGGAGGTAGAAGACGGCGTTGGGTCCTCTGGAACTGGAGTTACAGATCTTTGTGAACTATCTGATGTGGGTGCTAGGAATAGAACTCAGGTCCTCTGCAAGACATTATAAACTTTTAATGGCTCAGCTGGCTACCTGCGCCCCAGAAAATTGAATTATATAGTTTTTAAAATATTCATAGGAAGAGCTTGAAGAGATAAAAATGCATGATTGGTTGCCAAATCTACCAGTTCCTGCAATTTCCGATGTCAAGTCACCCTCCTACTTTAATTCTTTACTCGTTTCATTTGGTGACTGGCTAGAGTACTTCAATAATTCCAATAAATTCTGAAGTATGTGAAAAAAGATTCCCATCTTAGCAGAAACATCTGTAACCAGTTGCCCCCTCCATGCTTCTGTGTGGAGCGTCCAACAGCTGGACTCACTGCTGGGTCAATCTTCTGGGGGCACACACTTCAGAACATGGTTTGCATTTATTGGTCACAGTTCCTTCCTCTCTTCCTTCCTGAATCCCTAATGGTGTGTCCCTAGAATATGAAAATGAGAGGAAATGTCAAAAAAAGAAGACATAAAGTCAAGAGATCAAGATGTATACAGAACATGAGAACAAATTCACATGCATATATGTCAACACAAGAACACCACACACACACACACACACACACACACTCATAAAAACACACACAGGGACAAAAAGGAGACAGCAGTAGCTCTCTGTTTCACTAAAATGCAAAGCAAAGAAGTAACCACAGTGATGCACATGGGGACCTGGTGGAAATGAATTATTCTGAGGAATGAGTTCCAATGCTGCCTCTGTATTTCACTGTCTTAAAGAAACAAAAACACAATTTGAGATAACAAAAGAGTAAACTAAAATCAGACAGGACTGGAAATTACTGAACTTGAAGGAAATGCAATGAACTTCAGCATGTCTGATACAACATGGACCTGAACTGGTTACTTCGACTGTAACACAATACTATGTTGGAAAGTCACTCACTGTTTAGACTTAAAATGTGACAAAATTAATTTCTTCAATTGTCGTGAAGCAAAGTAGATGATGACAATAGGCGTATAAGCAATAGCAACGGTGAAATTTCTCTTGCATTGTATGTTCATATACTAATAAAAATGAAAATAAATATAGTACAAAAATGGAATACTGGGTAATATATTTAAATTACATAAATGTGTGTTTAAAGACCATAGCAGAAATTGGTAATGATCAGCAATTCTGATATTGCCATACCTAGAACTCAACAGCTAACATGTATGAGGAGTCAGCTTGCTCAATATTAATGTAGGGAGACAACTAATTGTTAAGAGGAGGAGGCTTGAATGACTCATTAACGCTGGGCACACCAACATAAAATCGTTTTTGGTTTTAATTAGATGCAATGGATAACACAGTGATGTTTATTCACAATCTGATTGTCCAAGCCAGTGTGTCCCTGATCTGTCAGCTCAGAAGCCCTGGAGGTAGGGAACACCTGTGTCAACAAGCACAGTGGGCACTCAGGCCAGGGTTCTAATGTCACTCTCAGTAGAAGAAGTAGCGAAATGACACAAATCATAGATATGTTTCCTTCACTATGATGGACTCCAATTAGAAAACAATAGTATGAAGGCTTC